CCCCCCCCTCTAAGACCATCCGCAGAAGAACCCTCTGTCTTCATCTGCGGAACCCCACAAGACAACAAACTCACTCCCTGTTTTTTCGTGTTTTTTGCGTTTTTGTGGTGTGTGAGCACCGTGACCCTATGCATAGTATGATACATAGCGGAAACGATGCATCGCGCAACAGCAATCGTGCACGAACGGATGTCGCACGACCGACTCGGAACCCGGCGTGTGTGTTCGTTCGGTGTTGTCTGACTAACAATGTGTGTACAACAGCCACTCCGCGCTTCGAGCTGAATATTCCTGCGTAGTACATGACAAATGCATACATGCGGCGTCTATGAGGGCTCCCAGAGGGGGTTTGGTTGGTTTGTTGGTTCTTTCGGTCGCCTCGACCAACGAGATTCAGATCACAATCGACCACACGCAGAGTTGGGGAGCAAAAGCTACCTTGCTGCTGTCGCTTTTGTCTAGTCCTATGCATGCAGTGGTGTTTAGGGGCGTGATGTTCCCCTGCGATGTTTTTGGGATAGCTTTCGCTCCCTGCATCGTCACCACCCTCGCCGTCGTGGTTACTTGAAGTGATTGGTTGATTGATGTCCATGTCCTTCTTTCCTTGCCGTCGTGGTTACTTGAAGTGATTGGTTGATTGGTTGATTGATGTCCATGTCCTTCTTTCCTTGCCTGTGCTGCCAGGGAGGCGATCGCGGTCAAGGGGGAGGTCAATGAGCTTTGGCAGCGGCTACATGTCCATCGGGAGCTGGCCGCAGGATATCAAGATGAACGATCCTATCATTACCGCCTTCATGTGAGCCAGCCTTGCCGCACACACACGTGCCAACTGTCTCGGCTTGAGATCTCCGAGATCTCCTACTGTAGTCGTACATGTAGCCACGGGGCTGGGAGACGACCCCTGATCGTTTGCATGTTCAGAGACTCTCGATGCGCACTCTCCCCTCTGGAGGCTCGTCCGCCATCTTCCCACATACGTTGTTCAGGCCTTGCTTTTCCTGCCTTGACTGGATCGCGTGTCTTTTAAACACAATAATATTACTAATTGGATGGTGATGATCGTTTAAATTGTCTATTGCAGTACTTTTTGGGAAATAGTTTTTCGGGCTCGTGTCGAGCGTACCCTGGTAAGCGCAAAAGTCGATATTTCAATCCTTTTCCGGCCCAATGCAAAAAATCGTTCCCAACTATTTTTCGTCAGTTCATGACGTACCCATTTCAAGGTAGATATGAGACAATTTTTGTTGAACTTTTTTTTTTGTCTTCACTTCAAATCAGCGCTCACAGCACTTGTGCCGTTAACTCCAACCCGTGGTCACACAGAACAGCCCCTCTCTACCCTCCCCTCCTGTGGTACTTTGCCTTCGATTTTCAATACGAGAAGAGTTTAGCACTCTCTTCCACCTGTGTACACACGAGCTAGCGCTATCCACCAGGCTAGGAGCGGAAGCGAGAGAAAAACTCACTTTGCAAGAAAAGCTCGCTTACGCCGGGATCCGAACCCCTGACCTGACCTCGAGAAGGTTTCGAGGATAACATTAACTAGACGACCGGGGCGACCGGATTGTCCACGCTCGAAGTGTCACCTTCCTTCTCACCTTGCCCGACAGTTTTCGGTGTAACCGGCCCCGGTCGGCGCCAGCGAACAACAGCACTTACTGACTTACTGACAGTCGTACAGGACACAAGACCGTGCCAAGTCAAAAGCCAAAAGCCAAGAAGACGCTTCCTTCCCCCATCGTTTTAGCGCGCTTCTGAAACCGCCGCAACCAAGGACATGGTGCACCATCATGCGTAGCCACCGACCCCACTGCCCACCCCCCCCACCCATGCCCCTGACTCGTGCCAGGTTTCTGGATGGGGTTCCGAAGCTGGCGGATCTAGAGGAGGTGTGCTCGAAGGTACTGCGAAATGAGAACTTCAAGGCGCTTCCTGTTCGGCGTGCCTGGTCTTACTCGACGCGGTTTGAGTGGCGCGACATCGAGGTACGTACGTAAGCTCGGTTCATCTGACGGCTGTTTGCCGCTTGGGTTGGCGAGCAGACGGTCCTAACCCGAAATGCCGTACGCGCGCGCCGTCTGTGTGCCCGATCCCGCCAGGGAATGTTTTGAGGTGTACAAGTATGAATGCAGTCGACGAAAACAGTAAAGTAACCAACGTTTCACACACACCGCCGCGTGTAGACTCGTCTTACGAACGATTTTCGGAGTCATTCAAACAAACCTGTTTTTTTGTGCAATTTTTGAAAATATAGGGATTCGACCTCAACGATTGCTGCCGGGACCTCCGCTTTTTTGTTTTTTTACACGGTTGGGCACGTTTGCGGTGTCGCGTAAACTGTCACGTAAACCCGGTGTTCTGCCGGGCGTTTGACAGCGCACATGACGCGCGGATTAGACCAGCAGATAGAGAGCGCGAGAGGGAGATTGACAAGAGAGAAGGCGAGAGACGGAGAGAGGAGAGGGACAGCGAGAGACAGAGACAGAGACAGAGACAGAGAGAGATTTTGAAGAGAAGGAGATAGGGAGAGAACGAGAGAGAGACTCAGATAGAGACTGAGAAGAGAGAATGCGAGAGACGGAAAGAGAGAGAGGGAGAAATTGAAAAGAGAGAACCGAAAATAATCCCCGCATCCCAGAAGAGCGTTTTTTCGTTTTTTTTCTTATGTTGGTGTCATGTTGATAGGTGAAGCCATCGGAGGTGATAACGTCGGTGAAAGCCAAGGGGTCGGCGGCGGTTCTTGCGGAGATGGACAGAGTCAAGGACGCTCCGCTGCGGCAGGCGACCTTCGACGGCAGGTAGGTTCGATGAGAGAAGGGTTAGATGGAAGATACCCCCACTCTGGGCGAAGTCTCCGGGCGAAGTCGGTGTGATCGGGTGGTGTTGTTGTTGATTCTTCGTAGGTTCTCTTTGGCGGCTTTTGAGAATTGGGAGATGGAAGATCGCCCCCGTATAGGCCAAGCAAGTATCATGAGTTTTTTTTTTTTTTTGCGTTTGGTTGGCGATTGTAAAACATTCAAACGTGCCGGGAACAACATTCTTGCGAGGACCCCCCCCCCGCTCTGACGAAACTTTGCGTAAATCGACTCTTGGATTTGGTCATGAATCAGTCCAATTGGAGCTGCGTTTGAGTTTTTGGAGGTTAATGTACCTTGAACCATTCTGCGGCGGTGGAGGCACACATACTGCTGTAGCATGGAACGGAAATTGACGATCCCCTGTGACAATCGGGCTTTCAGGCGACAGGCACTGTGATCTAGTCTTGTATCTACAACTTCCTGCAGCCGAGCGTCGGTGTGACTCAATTTTTCGTTTTTTGCGTTGTTCCTTATGAAAGTGTTTGAAGGCCGCCTCTTTGCTCTCCTTGCCTCAGCCACCCCCCACCCGCCCTCGGCATTGCCATCCTGCGTCACCCCCCCGCCCCGGTCCTCCTCTTCTTTCCTGCAGAGAGCTGCCGTTATGGGGTCTGCACCTGATTGAGAACACGGCTGAAGGCGAAGGTGAGAAATGTTACAGCAGTTTGTGTGAGTGGAGTGGTCACGATGAAATGTCGGGATGTTTCCCTGCGGCTGTGCTCATTTGTGCGTCGTTCCACCTCAAACACCCACCAGAAGTTGCCAACCTAGCCCCTCCTTTCCTTGGTGTTCCGAGCAGCTGGGGTAGGGGCTGCTGTCTTGGCCCTCAGGGTTCACCACACGCTGGGGGATGGCATGTCCTTGGTGGGGGTGAGCCGCAGTGTGTTGGAGGCGGCAGGTGGAGGAGAGCTAGGGGCGGGCTTGAACGGCAGTTCCGCGGCGGAGGCTGTTGTGAAGCCAGCTAACAGGGGGCTGTCCAACTTCAGCGCGGGAAAGGTTGGTGATCTGTCTGTCTAGAATTGCATGCAGTAGATTGCTGTCTCGAGTAACATGCAGCAGGTTGTTGTTGTTGTTGTTGTTGTTTGTGTCGTGGTAGTCTTGGCTGTTTTTGGCGTGTCCGTTCTTCACGCGTTGTTTCCCTCTCCCCCCTCCCAGCCCCCTCCGGTGTTTGCCATCGGGGTTGGGTTTTCGTCGCTTGGCAACGACGTTGTACGACAAGCCTCCCTCCTCGGTGTTTGCCATCGGGATTGGGTTTTCGTCGCTTGGCAAAGACGTTGTAAAACAAGCCTATGAACTTCGTGAACTCGGCAACCAGGTTACCGTTTTTTTTTTCCTCTGTTTTTTTTTTTTTTTNCGTGGTAGTCTTGGCTGTTTTTGGCGTGTCCGTTCTTCACGCGTTGTTTCCCTCTCCCCCCTCCCAGCCCCCTCCGGTGTTTGCCATCGGGGTTGGGTTTTCGTCGCTTGGCAACGACGTTGTACGACAAGCCTCCCTCCTCGGTGTTTGCCATCGGGATTGGGTTTTCGTCGCTTGGCAAAGACGTTGTAAAACAAGCCTATGAACTTCGTGAACTCGGCAACCAGGTTACCGTTTTTTTTTTCCTCTGTTTTTTTTGGCGGTAATCACGAATGGTGGTCGAGTAGATTATGTTGTGCGGGGTCGAGAACCCTCACTCCGCGCAAGGGGGATGATCGCACCACGTTGTGTT